GCCGGCCTGTTTGGCCGTGAAGCCCCGAAAATAATTGTACGGCCACCATGGCCTGCGTGCCCCTGATACTGTTAAAATCTCAAAGTTGCTTTAAAAGCGTCAGAACAGTGGTTTCTCAACGGCGTTATGCTGCGTTCACAACGGACACAATGCGAATATTCTCACCCTAACCGCTGGAGTTTCACCGCGGCTGTCAGCTGTGTTTACTCCTGTCATTCAAACGGGACACGCTGGAGAGGGGGCGGGGCTTATATCATGTAAATACTGTGGTGGAAACCAACTACGACAAAATTAACCTATTTTACCCTGATTTAATTGTAATACACGTTTCAAAATGATGCCGAAGTAACTAAATACTGATAACGGTTAGTAAAAACCAAGCTGTCTAGTCAGGATTCAGACAGTATTGCATTTCATTTATTATCTTGGTTGATTCTGGCTTATATTTTATTTTATCAATAAGGTATTTATATTGTTTTTCCCTTTTCAAACAGATGTTCAGTTATGTTAAAGTCTTTGATTGCACTTCAAGTCTAAAGTTTACATTTGAATTGTTTGGCACTGACTTTTCCTCATTGATGTTTTAGAATTAAAACCAGCTTGAAATGGTATTTTGGTCTGTTACTCCTTTTTATTTTAGTTGTTGTTACCTGTATGTACTGGTTGTACTGTTAAGTAACTTGAAAAATAACCATAATAACCGACATGAAAAGATATCGTGATAAATATCGTCTTTCGTGATACTGCTTGCAAAATATTGTGATATTATATTTAAACAATACCGCGCACCCCTAATTACAAATGAGACCTAGAGTTGCTGAACATAAATGAATCAAATGTATAAATGTAACACTGTTGTCTGTTTGATTAAGCAGATCTGCAAAAAGGAATTGTATCAATTGGAAAATAAATAGTTCTAGCTCATTCAACAGATGGTAGCATCTCATGTTTAGGAGAGAAATAAATGTACATAAGTAATTACCGCCTGATGTTTTACTGCTTTGATACGCTTCATTACAGTAAATACGTGTATGATTGTTCTAACTTTTTTTATTACATACTGGGTTATTATTTTGTGAAAGCACCAATCAAAAAGATTATAATTAATTTGATCCATATCATATCCCTTTCTGCAAATGTGCTGGAATTAAAAAAAAAAAAATACTGCTTTTAACCAAATGAATAGAAATCCAATAGAACAGCTGAAGCTGCACAGCATTCAATGTTGATTAGGGATTTGAATCTCCCTATTCCACACAGCCGTTTGAGCGTCACACAGGCACATTTAGAAGTGTGAAAGACTGTTTCTCTGTGTACCGGTCAGTCAGGAAGGCACAGATGATATTCTTGGCGTCTTTGGAGATCTCCACGTCATCAGGGAAGTTGAGGGAGTTTTTGTGGTCCATGATCTTACTGTAGGTTCCCACCAGAGAGTCGGCGTAGAACGGTGTGTCACCTAACAGCAAAACAGCAAGTTAGCGATAATAAACGGCACTGGAATATTGAAAATAGACAGATTTGTTTAGGTAATAAGAAGATTCCAACAGGCCAAGAACAGAAGTACAGTCCTTTGTTTACGCAAACATATTTTCAGATAGCAGCTCTCCACTCTTGTTGTGTACACTCAGTGATATCCTTCTATGTTCACTGACCAACAAGCATCTCGAAGATGAAGACGCCGACGGACCACCAGTCACACTCTCTGCCATAATAGCCGTCTCCTCCCTGGGACTTCAGCACCTCAGGAGAGATGTAGTCCGGAGTCCCCACCGCCGTATCACAGTGCACCATGCCGGTCTGCAACGCAAGTCCATACATTAAGATCTTTCAAATCCTGCAGGTTTAAGGAACCCTAAAGTCAATATTTTTGTTATATCTTAAGAGAAACTATGGATATTATTCTAAACATACCACCTGATGACACAACGGAGAGAAAAATGTGCGCTCCAACTGAGTAACATTATAGTGGAAGATCTCAAATGCGTAACAACTACTAGAAGGGCTGATTTAAATACGGAGACAGTTTTGTTTTTTGACTGAGATTATTTTCCTAATAAAGCTTGATGGACAACACGGAGGTCAAAATAAATACGATGCATCTGCGAAATAAATATGTCCTTTAATTGCAGTAATTATCACTGTAAGATCATCCGGTGACTTGAGTTGTGATATTGTTGTGCCTCCCGCTAGTAGAAATGTATTTACTTATAAGTCAAATATATAAACAGATTGCAGTATAAACAAGCACTAATAAACGCAAGATGCTGCTGCGCGTGCACGTGTATACAACTCACAGTGTCCATCTTCATGCACGTGCCGAAGTCGGCCAGCTTGAGGTGTCCCAGTCTGTCCAGCAGCATGTTGTCGGGCTTCACGTCTCGATGGATGAAGCCCATGGAGTGGATGGCTTCCAGAGCCATCACCACCTCTGCCGTGTAGAACTTGGCCCACTTCTCAGGCACGTCGTAGGTGCTGGTGAGGTTCACCAGGTCTCCGCCCGGCATGTACTCCATCACCATGTACAGGAAGTGCTCGTCTTGGAAGGCACAGCACAACTGACGGACCAAACAGAAGCCCTCATTAGTTTAGTATTTTGGAATTGGTGACACATAGGGATGAACAATGTGGATCTTTGCATTTCCAATGGTAACCATAAGAAGTTAAAATAAAAATATTCGATAAAATAAGAAAATTGAATAAAGATATTAATACAAACATAGGAAATTTAAGTAACATTTGAAATCAATTAACTAAATAACATGTATCTGCAACATATACAGTGGTGTATACATTTTAATCAGATATTATTGTTGGTGTCAATATACACAGAGTGTATATGTATGCGAATTGCTACTTTGTTGCAGCTCTTAATAAATCAAGAAAAAATATGTATAAAATATAACAGTTTTCACAAACACAATTTTGTATACCTTTTAAAAATAATCAAAAAACACCTCGAAATGGTATTAAATTGTATTTATTAACGGGGGACATAACGGAGGAGATAACTGTGGAAGCACCAGACAGGAATATTCAGAAGCAGAGCACGTGTCTTACCTGCACCACCCAGGGGCTGTTGGCGAAGGCCATGATGTCCCTCTCTTCCCAGAAGAAAGCTGAGTCTGAGCGTTTGATCATCTCAAACTTGCTCAGCAGCTTCATGGCGTAGACCTTCTGAGAGGCTTTATGCCGGACCTGCATGGCGGAGACACACAGGTATTAACAGTTGGAAAAGTCATTCAGAATTTTAGATTGTTTTCAATGTCTAACTTATTCTGAGCCACATTTTGGCTAAATGATTAATTGCATGTTATGCAAACTACATAAAATCACTGACCATATTTTCAATTCAATGTTGTGCAATAAAGCACATTGCATTTAGAATTCTCCATTCATTGAACACTCAAGAATATTCAGAGATATTTTTACTTTGAAAACAGACCAACTCATCAAACCAACTGTTGCAATGACATGTATGCATGTGTAGTCTTCTAGGAACCCTAATGTTAGAGACTTGATAATTAAATGAGAAAAACTTCTTTTTTTTTTAAACAATACTCACGAGTTGGACTTCACCAAATGCCCCTCGACCGATGACTTTAACTCTGTCAAAGTCTTCTGACTTCATCTGGAGGTCTCGAGTCTGTGTTATGACTTTTTCATCTGAGTATATAGAGAATAAATAACACAATTAATTATATTTTAAATGTACCACAATTACAAATATTTAGCTTTAAAATGGGGCATTTCCATCTCTTTGTCTCATAAACACATAAATGACTCACATCTGTTTAAAAAGGTTTCGATGTTTTTGTTCTTGCGTAGTGCAGGGTAGTCCAAGTCTAAGACCAGGGCATTTATAGAGTCCTGCACAGAATGAAAAGAACAATTAATCATCAGGTTAGGTAGTGAGAATGTGTCACATGTATCATTTGCTAAATTAACAGGAACAAGATCATCTGAATGACCCCAGCTGCTCCGTTTGCTTCTCTCTAACACCTTCTTTGCATAGAACAGTGTGTTGATCTTACATGTTATGTCATACCACAAGTGTGTGGACATTAAAACATGACAAGGACACAAAGACCAAGACATGTTTCGTCCAATCATTCGCACACAATAAATGAATAATCACAGTGTAAGTGTCCAAATATTAAGTGTTGCATTCTTATCATTTATAGACACAATGTATTTATGACTGTGCATGCTGTGAGCATCTGATGCAGCCAACTACTGAGGAAATGTGTCCTTACTTATGCTTCATAACTCACTTGAAAGGGGCCCTTTCATTGTTGGGGAGTTTCCCCTTTCCTGTAGTGCGTTATAGGTTTTAGTACATGTAAATGGTCTGCAAAGGCTAGAATCCCTGTTCCCTCCAGAATGAGTTTCTCTCCCACACACTCCCCCCCCCTGCCTGAAACGCCTACATTTGACTCCTTTGTTTAATTTCTGGAACATAGTGCAGTGTTTCCCACAGAATTTGATCCCCCCCCC